GACTGTCATGCCCTTCTCCCGGGAGGAGCTTCGTCAGGAGTACAGGAACCGCCTCGAGTATGGGCTGTAGATGTCACTGGTTGCCAACACCCTGATTCTCTGCGATGGAGAGATCAATGAGGATGATCCAGAAGGATTTTCGGATTCAATGAAGGTCAACCTCAACGAAGTATCCAAGTCACCTCTGTTACACTCTCGATTCCTTAGTGTTTTTGATGAAATGATGGAAAATAAAGTCATTGTATAGATAATTTCTCACAAACAAGCATCAGATATGTATTATCTTTACTATTCATTACATAAAAGATAGATAGCAATGTACAACTTGATAATAACGGTTGTTTTGATGTCCTTGTCTTATAACTTAAATAAATTAATAAAAATGGTACGAGTTTTCTGGCAAAATATGTATACAGTGACAGAAATCCGTGTTAAATGTACCCTTATTTTTAGAATTGTTTTTTTCTTCTATTTCTGTTGTTTCTGCCATCATATTTACATAATCTTAAAAGCGCTCTTTAGCTCATCTCAACTCTTTGAAGATTGTCTTGATGATGACAACACTTTTATCTTCCGAGTTTTAGTTCATTTGAATATAATCCTGTAACCTTTTTTCAGATTATACATAGATTAGTCCTGCATTAATAAATATCAGGGTTCGGTTTAGGAATCGAATGTCAACAGAAACAAACGAGAGGAAACATTTCATAGGTTTTACCTGCAAGAACTAAACAATGCGTCAGAAACAAATCAGGAGAAATATTGGCAGTAGGCAGAGGATCCACGAATTTAGGTAAGATCACATGGCAGAGGAAAGCAAACAAGTCAAGGTCACAGGACAACTGCTGAATTTTCAGTTCAGTTCAGTTAGATTTTTTCGCCTGGCCTTCCATATATGTGGTCCGGTCTATGTCAGTTATTTATAGCTGACTCAATTGATTTATTATAACTGAATACTAACTGCTCCCATGATCGCAACTGCCTCTCCCTGGAAATAGGAGGTGTTGCATGTTACCCTCATGGATGTTGTGCCATCCCTTGCTACAAAGCTGGTGCCTGCAGCGTGGGTTACAGGATCGACTGATCCATCCATGAAGTAGGTTCTACAACCGAGAGGAAAGATGACTATAATGCCTTCTGGGAAAATATGTATACAGTGACAGAAATCCGTGTTAAATGTACCCTTATTTTTTCTTCTATTTCTGTTGTTTCTGCCATCATATTTACATAATCTTAAAAGCGCTCTTTAGCTCATCTCAACTCTTTGAAGACTGTCTTGATGATGACAACACTTTTATCTTCCGAGTTTTAGCTCATTTGAATATAATCCTGTAACTTTTTTTCAGATTATACATAGATTAGTCCTGCATTAATAAATATCAGGGTTCGGTTTAGGAATCGAATGTCAACAGAAACAAACGAGAGGAAACATTTCATAGGTTTTACCTGCAAGAACTAAACAATGCGTCAGAAACAAATCAGGAGAAATATTGGCAGTAGGCAGAGGATCCACGAATTTAGGTAAGATCACATGGCAGAGGAAAGCAAACAAGTCAAGGTCACAGGACAACTGCTGAATTTTCAGTTCAGTTCTGTTAGATTTTTTCGCCTGGCCTTCCATATATGTGGTCCGGTCTGTGTCAGTTTTTTATAGCTGACTCAATTGATTTATTATAACTGAATACTAACTGCTCCCATGATCGCAACTGCCTCTCCCTGGAAATAGGAGGTGTTGCATGTTACCCTCATGGATGTTGTGCCATCCCTTGCTACAAAGCTGGTGCCTGCAGCGTGGGTTACAGGATCGACTGATCCATCCATGAAGTAGGCTCTACAACCGAGAGGAAGGATGGCTATAATGACCCTCTCGACTTCTGCTTCCATTCTAGGGGTATTAATTTATGGGATATTAATTATTTTTCTTTTTTCTCTTTTAAGAAATATATTGAAGAGAAGACAATGGACTTGCATTTAATACCTTTTCATAGAGAGCTCATGCTACAACAAAACAAATTTTATACAAGAAGCAAAATACACACTTTTCATGTACATTTTCCCCTGAATTCTATAATAATCTTAGTATGGGAAGGAATATTACACAATGCGTTTCACATGTTGCAGCAGATATATTTAAACAAACATTTTACATATCGAGCATAACCTGATTGATTACGCTCTCATTTTACCCAAACTCTTTAATATTTTTACCGTTGTCTAATATTTTCCTAACAATAAAGTCAACTGAAAACTCCATTCGCTTAATTAGTATTGATATCGCCTGAGCACTTATGTAAGCCAATTACCGTAATTCTTTTACATATGTTTGATAACCGTGAGCATTAATCATTGAAACTGAACGATCAATCTTCACATTTTTTTATGGTTTACTGTTATCTTCGCTTGGTATTACTTGTTCAGATGAGCGATGTTTGCTGTCTTTATCTTTCATACCAAGTTTCTCAATTAGATCTGAGTTTTTTATACAAGAGATGTATATGTACATGTAGTATATAGATATGTGTATATTGATATAGATATAGATATATGTATAGGTATAGGTATAGGCATAGGTATAGGTATATATATATATATATATATATATATATATATATATATATATATATATATATATATATATACGTATAGATATAGGTATGTGTATGTGTGTATGTATATATATCGATAATACTCACGAAGAAAGTAATAATAATGATAATGATATGAAAATCATCATCATTATCATTATCAGCATTACTATCATCACTATCATTATCATTATCAGCATTACTATCATCACTATCATTATCATTATCAGCATTACTATCATCACTATCATTATTATTATCAATATTATCATTCTCATTATCATTGTCATCATCATTGCCATCATCATCAAGGAGTGAATGAGAATGAATATCACAATACAAGAGATGTATTTGACCGGTTTGGATTACATCATCGTTTGAAATACATCATGTATGTCTGACGAATCATCACTATCATAATAGTAATAATTTTCGCTCAAAGTTATTACAAAAACACCAATACGTCGCTGTAGTTTAACTCAAAACTACATATTGTCTTTAATAAAAAATCTTTCGACATTGTCAATTTACTCGTCATATAATTATAAAGTCATACCTAAACAGGAACTAAATAACTAAAAATACAAAGAATAAAATTGATATATAACGGTGACATTATTACATTTGCTTGCACTTGTGATGTAAAAAAAAAAAAAAAAAACTGAAATGATTACTCACTTCTCCGAAATTATCAGGCAAAAATGACTCACAGATATCAGAGAGAAAATGGTATTCATATAAGACAAAAGGATCTTCATTAGAGAAGAAGGATTTGTAATAATCATATGAAGCAAGAATCTAAAGGCATTTCTCCACAGTTGACATCAAGTGAGCACCGGATGTTTATAGAGATCGTGATAATACAACACCAATGAACTTGCTTCATAACAATATCGGGAAAATATGTGATGTGTGTAAGGAATACGGAACAACAGAGCCAGACAATACATATTTGAGTAAGTTAAAGTGATAAGTATTTGCGTGCAAAATTCCGTACCCTCTTTACAACTGCTACAACAACTACAGTAAACATATAATATGGGTTACCGTGTCCCAATAAAATGTAGTCATGATAGAGTGAGATGTAGTCATGATAGATGTAGTCACGATAGGTTAATAAACTGAGATAAAAATACCGATGGGTAGAAGGAGAGGGGAAAATAGAGAGAAAGAGGAGGCGTAAGGTAGAAGGAGGGTGGAAGAGAGAGAGAGAGAGAGAGAGAGAGAGAGAGAGAGAGAGAGAGAGAGAGAGAGAGAGAGAGAGAGAGAGAGAGAGAGAGAAAGAGAGAGAGAGAGAGAGAGAAAGAGAGGGGGGGAGAAGGTGTGAGTGTGTGTGTGTGCTGTGTTTCGTTTTTTTCCCCTTTCTTTTTATTAATTGTGTGTGCATGGTATATATAAGATATACGGTTCTACAAGTCCATCCACATACTAACTGTCGTCATGATATGAATGCAAAACATTATATAACCATTAAAATCTCCAAGCAATAATCCATAATGACTTATGATATATCCATTAACAGCAGAGCTTAAAGGAAAAGCAGTGCCTTTTAAGCATACATGAAAATTAAACGCCAGACCACTAATCCTCTTCCAGTCCACTTTCATAAATACTGAATAAAATTAAATATCAATGAAACACAAGGGTATATTTACAGGTACGAACATTCTCCGTGTTATGATACGAAGCTGAAATTTCCTAGAGCTTAGAAGATGATAGCGTTCAAGCCAGTCTTCAAAGGGGTGCCTGTTGCTGCGGAGTCTGTGTTCAAGGGAAAATATGAACTAATGAGCTCTCTGAAGAATTCTAGCAAAATGCAATGGCAGGGGAGCAACGAGCCTGAAAATTGCAATGCAGGAAAGGTAAATAGAAGGAGTAATATCACTGTATCACACACACACACGCACACACACACACACACACACACAGAGAGAGAGAGAGAGAGAGAGAGAGAGAGAGAGAGAGAGAGAGAGAGAGAGAGAGAGAGAGAGAGAGAGAGAGAGAGAGAGAGAGAGAGAGAGAACGAGAGAGAGAGAGAGGGAAGGGAGAGAGAGTAGAGAGAGATAGATAGATAGATAGAGAGAGATAGGGAGAGAGAGAGAGAGAGAGAGAGAGAGAGAGAGAGAGAGAGAGAGAGAGAGAGAGAGGAGAGAGAGAGAGAGAGAGAGAGAGAGAGAGAGAGAGAGAGAGAGAGAGAGAGAGAGAGAGAGGGAGGGAGAGGAGAGAGAGAGAGATAGAGAGAGAGAGATAGATAGAGAGATAGAGAGAGAGAGAGAGAGAGAGAGAGAGGAGAGAGAGAGAGGGAGAGATAGAGAGATAGATAAGAGATAGAGAGAGAGAGAGAGAGAGAGAGAGAGAGAAGAGGGGGAGGGGAGAGAGGGAGAGAGGAGAGAGAGAGAGAGAGAGAGAGAGAGA